CTGAATGTCAGCCATGATGAGGAACGGTGGGTGGGACTTCCTTCAGAGGTCCATTCCCCCTGCGGGCCGCACTAATATTATACTTTCATATCACAGTGGGGGCCACAGGATATCATCCTGCAGGCCGCAATTGGCCCGTGGGCCACGAGTTTGAGACCCCTGATCTATACTCTATTTTTTTTCCATATCTTTTTTTATGCTCTCGGGTTTTTTCATATATATTGCTCTGGTGGATGAAGTTCTAAATGTCTCAATAATAGTGGCAATAATCTTCCAGAATTATAGTTCTAGAAAACCTGAAAACCTGCAGCTGTTGGTAATAAAGGCATTGACTCTGAATGTGTAGATTTATGTACACTTGCCAACATGGTAGCTTTTATTTCTTGTAATATTTGACATTAGCTTTAAAATGTTATCAGAAATTGTCCTGTACTTTTATGTAGAAATTCCATTTCCTACAGTGTTTTTCAAGGATTCAGCCAAGAAAACAAATTTGAATAAATTTTAATCAGAATTTGCAAGCTTGTAACACTCTTCCTGAACCTGTAATTGATAGGTATTTGTGTTGTGTAAGCAGACATATCATGATGCGCTTAGATAACCATCTAAAATCTGTCAGTGTTGATTGGGTCCCTAAATTGATTTAAAAAATAATATGCTTCATTTTGCTACCTAGTTACCTAATGACCTGCTAAAACAAAAATAGGGCTTCTATTTCAATTATATCCACAGTTGTGCTTTGTTTTAATGCCAGATTTTGTTTTGTTTTAAAAGGTGTCAGATTAATTGGGTATATGAAGGCACTTTCGAAAACAATATTTTCCTGGAGACCGTTGTCTTTACTGGAAATAATCTTCTCTTTCTGGCCTCAACGGCATTTACGGGTCCTCGGTGTCTGAAGCATCTTGATCTAACCCAAACAGGGATCACTAAATTAGCATTTATCCCATTGCAGGATCTAAACAACATAGAAACACTGTTACTAGGAAGCAACCATATCCAAACATTGGAGGTGCTACCGGATTTTCCAACTAGAAAGCTCAAACACTTGGATTTACAGATGAACAATATACAAACAATATCAACTAGAGGCATAGAGGCATTAAAACAAGCTAACAATCTAACCCTCAGTCTTAGGGACAACAAGATTATGCACATAGAATCCAAGGCTTTTAGTTCATTTTCTTTCTACAGCTTGGACTTTGGCAGTTGTAGTAATATTTCAGTGATCTTGGATGGATTGCAAGGTGTCAGCACTGCTATCCTCTGGCTTGGCTCTTTTTGGGGTGTAGACAGCCTTCCCATTCAAAAAACCACACTGCAAGGCATATGCAACTTCTCTGTAGACTATCTCACTCTGCAGTATCACTCTTTCCTAGAACCTTCTGGTGACACTTTCCAATGTTTATCCAAACTGAAAAGATTGGACTTGATCCATACCTCCCTTTCTGAGCTACGGAGCCTTCCTCAGATGAATTTACTGAAAGAAATAAATCTCAGTTGGAATGACTTTTTGAATCTCTGCGACATTGACTTTTCTGCTTTTCCTTCTCTTACCCATCTCTATATCCGGCAGAATTATAACACAATGAACTTGAGTTTTGGATGTTTGGAATCCTTGTCAAAGCTTCAACACCTTGATTTGAGTGGGAGTAAAATAGAAAGCCTAGACTGCTGCAGCAACCAACTTCGTGGTCTAATTGGATTGCAACACCTCAATTTAAGCCACAATAGAAAACTTTCATTCCATAACACAGCATTTAATGAATGTCCTAACCTGAAAGTTCTTGATCTCTCCTTTACACGTATTACCATCAATAATTCTCAAGGCCCATTCCACAATCTACATTCTTTGCAGATCCTGAACCTTTCTTTCTCTCATATTGATACAAGCAAGCAGAATATTTTGCAAGGTCTCAGCAGCCTTATTGTCCTAAATATGAATGGAAATACCTTCAAATCTGGCACCATTTTGAATGACAACTTTCTTCAGAAAGCACCCAATCTAGAGGTGTTAACTTTAGCTTCTTGCCAGTTGATGGTTATAGAAGCTAAAGCATTTTCTGCCCTCAGCGCATTAAAACATGTGGATCTGAAGCATAACAATCTTACTGCATTCTGTTCAGATGTGTTTTCCAGCCTCAGGAACATTTATCTCAATTTTGCCAATAATAGGATCCATATTATCCCACATGATTTGTTGACTGGACTATCTGGCCAGAGTATAATCAATTTAAGTTACAATCCACTGGAATGCACCTGTTCTAATATTGGATTATTAACTTGGTACAAGCAGAACATAGATAAAATTGAAGATTCTGAACAGACTTTGTGTGCTGAGCCTAAATCACTAGCAGGCACTAAACTTTTCTCTATAAATCTGTCCTGTAGATATAGCACTGCAAAAATAGCATTGATTACTCTTGTTGTGATAATAGTAATTGTAGTGACCTTCATTTTGATTATGTATGCTTTAAAGCAAAAATTTTAACAGATAGAAGCTTTTGAGAGAAAGGAAGGAAGGAGGGATTTTTTAAAATATACGAATATATTTCTTAATAGAAGGGCATTTTCTAACATCAATGGGAGTTTCTTTTCCTTTTTATATCAATACTGCATCAGTTAATTCTGACAACATGGATTTGGGGAGAAAATGATTGCAAAGGAGGGAAATCAGTTGTTTAGTATTGCATTTTCCAACTGTTGTATGTCTGATTTCATTCTCTCAATGTGTTAGGATAGATTACCCCAGGCCCTCATTGTTGTGACAAATAGGTGAAGAACATAGTAATGTAATATTCTTGAAAACAGGAGAGAACTCAACTTTCCAATTGATTTAATTATGTAAAAATATGAAGATTGCATGCCCTTAGTTGTCTCTGAAACCTTTTTTTTAGGTTAGAACATTAGAACAGTGATACTGAACCTATGACATGCATGTCAGAGGTGGCACACCATGACTGTCAACCCTGAAGCTGGCCTGGCCAAAGCCATCTTGGGCTTCAGTGCTGCCACACTGGAGCTGAGGGTTAGGGAGTGGGGATTAGAGATAGCTGGAACTGTGTAGTCAAAATAAAATACTTGGGAACCAAGGACATTCTCACATCTGGTCAGAGGAAGTGATGTCACTGGACCTTCAGACAGCACCTTGATTGGATCATGTGAATGTTTAGGATTGAGAGAAAAACTTTTACTCCAGATATGTGCCAATATATTTCCAATAAAGCTATTCTTTGAGGAATCTACTTGCCTTGGAGTGTTGCTTGAAATGGATTTATTACTTGGAACCCTGACATTTAACCGGCTCTGAAAAGTCCCACGGATTTTCACCTAATTAAAAGTAAAAGGTTTTGGTGACATGCCAATGTTCACCATTACCCAGCGAAAACTATTCTTTAAAGCACCCTCGGTCTTCACACAATTTTTGAGGCTATAGAAGTCGTGCTCTTGCGCAGACTCTGGAACCTCCAAAAACTAGTTTGTTTTACTCATATTTCATTGCTGTAATTGACATTTCTTTATATAAAAAACACAGCACCATATGTGATTGGACTGTAGTTTTAAAAACATATTTAAAAATAAATATGTAGGGAATTATTTCTTTTTTGTTCAAGGATGAGGATGGCGGTGACATGCCAACAGAATCAAGTTAGTGTTTTTTCCAAATTTTTGACATGCCAAGCCCCAAAGGTTCACCATCATTGTATTAGAATATATAAAAATTATTCTTTCCCAAAAAATCTGTAAAGGTTTTCATACAATATGTCAATATACCAGAATATACACTTTTTAAACACTGGTATATTAGGTTTGTTTCTTCTTCTAAATGAATACGAAGTACATCTTATACCTTCTATTACATTTCACAAAATGTAAACATATTTTACCTGTAATGCTAAAACATAGTTTAGCTTCAATGACTAAGTCTACAGTCCTTTTTTGCACTCTATCTTCTAGAACAGTAGTTCTTAACCTTTCTGGTTCCATGGACTGGCACTAATGGTTACAGTGGCGGGGTGGAGGGAATGGTTTTGCATGCACACCCACCACTTACACAAATCTTGTAACTGCATAGCGTTTTTATTGCCCAGAGCTCAGTGGTAGAAAATATCTTTGTAGCCTAGTAACAGAGGCCTAAAATAATCTCCCATAAAATGCTAGTGACACTTCCAGAATTAGCATCCAGTTACCTAGGAATAATTTCTTCCATTTTTTTCTGAATAATTAGATGCCAATGGAATATGCCTTTCTTTTATGATATGTAAAACTTTTCTCCTGGAAATTTACTTTATGATCTAAAGTCTACAATGTTGTACAAATCAGAGAAGTAAACTATTTGAAAACCAGGTAGCTTCCACTTGGATAATGCCCGGTATTCTTTCCAACAGTCTTATGCTGTATTATTATTTATTCCATGGTCACAATGATGGAATAAAAAGAATCCTCAATTTTCTTCACATAGCTGTATCATTTCTCAGTTCCATAAAATGTCATGAGTCAGAATGGATGTGCTGACACTTCTACACAGGCCATTGGACAAAGTGAGCATATAATGTATATGGTCATAAATAAAGTAATTAAAGTCTTTATGTACTGAAAAACACTCTAATTTGGTTGTTGAATTTCTCATATATGTGATTTCAAGTTTACTGAAAATGTTGCTATTTGTTCCTATTTATTATATCTTTATAAATATTTATTAATTTTATTTTATTCTCAGTTTACAACCCACCAAGTCGATGATCAATAATCTTTCTTCTGTCACTTTCATATTTCACTGAAGAATAAATCATATTGAGTTTCTAAGCAACAGAATATTTACCAATCTCTTTCCTTTTCTTATAGCCTCCTTCACATAATTCACATGGAGTTCTGGTGCACATTGTACTTATCAATGTAACAAAAAATATTTCATGCACATTATTGTTCTATTAAATCCTGAATTTTTGAAATGTAGTATTTTAGAATTCAAGAAAGCCCGTTCAAGAAACAAAGTCAGATTTCTTTCATGCCCTTTTTTTATTTCAATGTTCTCCAACTTCCAAGTATAAATATTTGCATTTAATAGGCAATTTTTATGACAATCATGGGGATCTTTCAAAGAAAAAAAAGACTGCAAATATTTCATTGCAGAAATCCTAACAATTTTTTATATAATTTGATAATTAACAGTAGGGGATACTACAAATGGACATTATAATATACATCCACACAAAGACTGACAAGTAATACACAATTCAGAGGACCTTTAACATTTCACTTTAAGGTAAACATTAACGAACAAGGAATTACATCAATGCGAACTCGGGTGCTACAGTATTTTCAAAATGAGGGGAAATATTTGGCAAAAGTGATAAAGCACTATATACAAAATATACATTAAAAGATACATTTGTAAACAAGATAGCTAAATGTGCCTTAAAGAAAAAAAGTGAAAGGGTTTTCTCCCCAAGTAACTGTAAACTATGAAATGCTTCCCAGAGAACGACATTTTTATTTGGGGGTACATTTGCATTCAGTTTTATTCCCAAAGCACAGATTCAAACTATAAATGACAGGAATACCTCAAGAGTATTTTTCCTTCTCTGCTTGTTTTAAATAATTCATGAGTGGCGAATGAATATACTACCACTCAATGGACATTTAGAAACTGGCTGCTGCTATCATTTTCTGAGACTTATAAATATGAACAAATCTCACCTGGTTTATTTCTTCCCCAGGGAAATGCATTTAGCATACTTGTAAAGATCTTATAAACAGTCAGTTCATAATTAGGTTATGCTTGGTTGGCTGTAGTTAGGAAACAGGAAAATTGCCCTGGAGGACACTCAACTTTAAATGGACTTCCATAAGGTAATATAAAAAGAAGAAAAATTAATGAATTCTCTTCTCATGTTAACATTCTTGTCTATCATAACCTTTGATATTTTTATCTAAGTTTCCAACCAAATTGAGTTTCCTTCCAACGTCATTTGTTTAAACTTATTTCATGAATCATGGAATTAAAGTAAGGCTTAGGAAAACTTAAAAAAAACCTCACAAACAGCCCCAAATAGCTCCAACATGTTCTCCCCTTTTAATCTAAAAATGTTTTTCTTATTTTAAAAAATTAACTTCTTTTTTATACAAATAAATATCATGCTATGAAATGTTTACAGATACTTAATATACGTCAACCAGAATATGAATCCTAGCATCACTTGCAGAAAAACAGCAAGTTTAATCTACAATGTAAGGCCCCAGCTAAGTATTTAAATGTTACAAGGTACAGAATATATTATCTAGATAAAACGATGGAAAATACATCCCTTCACCACTTTTATCATAAAACAGCAAAGAAAACTGAACTGCTAAATGACCAAATTTACCTATCATGATAGCAAAGATGAAATGTAGTCCTAAGAGATTTGTTTCTACATAAGTATTGTATCAGAAAGGCCAAACCATACTTAATATGACCTGAATAAAGATAAGTATGCTTAGCATGCCATGAAGAAAAAGGAACATTTCCTGTTATTCAAAACTTGTCCTCTAGCAAAAAAGTTTTATGTGAGAAGACAATGGAAGTTATTTCTGTTTCCTCACATCAATACTAAACAAAGACAATCACTGTGCATTAAAGAACCACAGTTTGTTCATTTAAGCCAGTGTTTCTTAAACTTGCAAACTTTTAAAATGTGTAGACTTCAACTCCCAGAGTTCCCCAGCAAGCATAGGTGGCCAGGGAATTCTGGGAGTTGAAGACCACAGATCTTAAAGTTACCTAGTTTAAGAAGCACTGGTTTAAATGAGTTAAGTCTAGCTCACGAACCAAAGTATGAATCTGTAGGTCTTAAAACTATGCAGCTAAACTCATTAGAAAGCACTAGATTTCGATGTTCTGATTTTTATGGTGGGTGTACAATTCTGAACGAGAAAAAATTGATCTACTTTCATCCTCCTATTAGAGCAATGCATTTGTGGGTTCAGTTTAGGACTAAGCTTTAGCAATTCTGTTTCTTCTTTGATTATGGCAAATTGGTGGCAAAGCAGCAACTCTATAAAAGAGTAAACAATACAATCAGCAGCAGTTGGATATTGTAAATCAAAACAAGCACACTAAGTATTTACAGTGAACTTGCCATGACCCAGGCCCATTTTACCTCAAGTCTCTCAACTTGTAAAAGTATTTTTATGCTAACAGTTTAACCGGTAATATTTGGGAAGACATTTATGAAGGGAAACAAAACTTGAGTCTTTCTTTACAGACCCTGCTTAAGTGACACACTTTTTTTCTGAAAGAAAATACTACACAGTGCTGATTTTTAAGAGGGGGGCGGGGGGGGGGAGGGAGACAAGAAATTAGATTTTCATCTGAGACATCCTATTTGCAAGCAACTACTAAGAGCTCTTTTTGTGAGGGCTGTGTCTTGAGGGGTCTTTTCCTCGTTTCTGCCGGGAAGAATCTTTGTCCAATGAAAGTGCATTGAGAGAGTCATTTGTAGTCCCTGACTTTGGCAAATCTTTACCTACATTCTGTTTTTTTATAGCAGAAGATTGAGGCAGACTGGGGTCTCTTCCTTTTATGTCCATAGTGCTAGCAGAGTGAGACCTCTCCTGACCTCTGGGCTTTCCCCCCAAATCGGAAGTAAGAACTTGCTCTTCTTTAGGGGGCGAAGTACAGCGAAAGTTCAATAGTGACACAGTTTCTGTTCTGCCCTCTGCTGAGGAAGAAAAGCTGCTTGGCTTTTTGACTTCCTTGCAGCTCGCTTCAAGGGGCGGCGCTGCTGATAGCACTTTAGCCTTTGAAGAAGGCAAAACAGGGGCTTTCTGTCTAGGTTCTGGGCAGCTGAATGGGACATCCAGCTGCTTTGTAGTGTTTCCCACCGTGCGACACGAATTCTGCAATGTGGTCAAGGAGGAATGTTTTGTTGGATTTGATTTACTCCCTTCTGCCAGTTGCTTTGGATTTGCGTGTCCTTTTCCTTTACAGTCCTGAAAGTTTTTGTTACCCGTGGCTGACTTTTCCACACCTTTTCCTCTGGCATCACAAGCAGAAACAGAAAGGCTGGGATCCAATTTCCTGCTGTCACTTTGAAAATAAAGTGCATCAGTACATTTCCTTCCTTCAGGTTGTTTTTCTGGAGAGACTATTGGGTTACTTGAATCCTTATCTCTCTCTTTGTTCAGCAAGGGACACTCTTTTGCACTGGATACCTTTGGCTTGTTCCGTAGATGGAATGGCTTTTGATCAACTGGATCTCCTAAGCTTGCTGTCTCTTCCTTTTGAAAAAACTTGGTATTCTCTGTCCCCTGGCTTTTACTAAAAGATTTAAGCTGATTTTCAGCAATGGTTTTATTGAGCTGGACTGGTGGTTCTGATCTACATGATATAACCACATTCTGTTCTGTCTGTATCGGTGCATTATTTAGCTTTCTCTGAGAGCTTGAAGAATGTGTGAAAGAATCCAAAGTGATCTTAAATATGTTTTTCCCCTCCTTTCGAGAACCAGCCATTCCCAGTGCACCATTTTCTTTTTCTTTTACCTGTGTAGCTAATGGTTTATGTGCAGATTTTTCAGAATGTTTTAATTTAGAGGAACACGCATCGAGAACCTGCTTTGATTTAACAGTGCTATTCTCCATAGCAGGCCAGAGAATTTCTTGATTACAATAACACATAGGAACATCTGCTGCAGATGGTCTGTTGAATGGTTCTTTTACTGCAGGAACATCAGAATTGCTACTTTGTGGCTTAGAAGGAAAATTAGGCTCCTTATCAGCAGTTGGAGGCTGTGTTTTTTTGGATTGCCTCTGCTCTTTTGATCCCAGGTCTCGAGGCTTATCCTTTTGCACAGTTGCAGCAACCATTGTTTTTTCTATTTTAACTGAATTGAAACTCTTTGTGGAAGGCAAAGCATTAGTTTTTGGTTTAGGCATGCCAAATTCATTTCCCGAAAATTCTCCAGTGATGTTTTCATCTTCCTTTGCAGGCTGTTTAAGCATATCTTTGACATCTTTGAGCTTCATCTTGGAATTTGATGCCTCTACTTTTGCTGTACCACATGCTTGTAAATGAGCAGTTGAATCCAAAGTATACCTTTGACTGTGCTTAGAGTCTTGATTCGAAACCAAATCTGGAATGAAGCTCTTCCATGAGGAATCTGCAGTCCTCCCATCATCAGTCTGTTCAGTTTTCATGTGGCTCTCCAATACTTCTTTAATGCACTTCTTCTCTTTTCGTTTGCCTTTTTCAGTATTTCCTTGTCCTTGAGTAGCTGTGCAAGTTATCAAAGCAGAATTCTGATTTTGGAAGCCATTAGATTTCGTACTGTTTGTACCAACCTGGATTGTTTCTCCTTTTTGACAGATCTCCCTTACAGAGGAGTCATCGTTAGCAGTGAGACTAGAGAGTGGTTTTCTTGACGGCTGTTGAATCATCGCAGGTGCTGCAGTTGAATGCTGGGTATTTTTATTAGGCTTTGAGCTCTGCAGCTCCAAAAGATCAGATTTATAGGGTCTGGATTGCTGGATGGTTGGTAGCATCTTCTGAGATAATGGCTCAACTTTCAGGCTGTTGTCACACTGGGGAAGTTGATCATTTTTAATACTCTGGTCACCTTGGAATGCACATGAAGACACTTCTGACTTTGACGTCTGTGGCCCTGAAAGCAGAGCAATATCTAACGTACCTTCAATTGGTTTCAAGCAAGAAACAGACCTTCCTTCTAGTTTGTAATCTGAAGAAGTCTTCCAGGCCAATGATTCCATGGAGATCAGGGTTGATTTCTCAATACCAGGATCAGCTCTGCTGTTCAAGGTTTTGAGGGGAACAAAAGGAACAGAACTAATCTGAGCAGCATGAGCACTGCTGAGAAATGATGGATTTTCAGCAGGCAAATTGGAATTCTGTATAATATTTATAGGCTTAGCTGAATTAAGCTGTTGGCACTCATGTTTGTTTGCTGCCAATTTAGGCTTTAGCACTGGACTGGAATTGTCATCACTTTCTTCAGAAGATATTTTCTTTCGAAAATAATCTATATTTGCAAGATTACTATCTAATCTTTCAAATTTGACAAATTCTTTTGTTGATGCATTTTTATCTACATTCCCTTCTTTCCCATTTGCCAACTTCTCGGGTGAGTGAGGCAGAACATCTAGCAATGTGCACGGAGGGGAAAATCTTTTGAAATCATAAGACAAATGACTAAGTTCATTAAGTGCAGGGCTATGACATGACATGCATGCATCTGAAGCACTGTATTCATTGGACTTCAAATTTGCATTCTTCTGAAGGGTGTCTTTCAGTATGCCACCTGTTGCCTGTGTCTCCAAAGCTGTAATTTTAACTTCAGAGTGATTTGATCGTTCCAAAGCTTTTTGAAATACTTTTTTGCTATCCTTGTCTTCCAGGCATGAGATAATGGGGTTTTCTGATTCACTGCAAAGTTCATGTACAATGCTTGTTTTCTGCAAATATTCTTGTTTTTCTGCCAGATCTTGTTTTTTTACAACTATCTTGAATTTCAATTTTTCTCTATCCAGTTCATCAACAGATTCTTGCCTGCCCAGTTTCCTGCAAAGAGGGCGTTTTAAACAGCCTTGCTCTGCAGGCCTCACTCGTGTGACTGAAGGCGATTCCATCGCATTCTCCTCCAGACTCTGAAGAGTTATATCACGCTGGGATGCTTCTCTATTAACCTCTTCCTGAGTTACTTCCAAGCTGTGTTTGCGTGAGCATAAGTGTTTCTTATCAGTGCCATAAGAAGGAGCAAGTTTTTCTTCGGACTGAACCCTTTTGAGTAGTGGGGATCTTGGTGGCTCTGCACTCTTAGGTCTGACAATATGTCTTACAATAGTGGGAGGAGAATGCATTTTACTGGGAAAAGCCTGAGCTATTTTTGCATTTCCTATTGAATGACCCAGTAAGGGTGATGGAGATCGCTGAGGAGAGGTTGGCTGAGGTGTTGGAGATGGAGTCCTTGCCAATGGTGAAAGGGGAATACTTCCAGCTGATTTGCGCCTTCCAGATCTGTATCTTGATCCTCCAAGCTTGGGTCCTAAACCATGGAGTGTGCTGGGTCTAATATGTCCAGAGCCAGCTGGAGAATTGGGTGCACTTGAACTTGGAGAACTACTTTGGGAAGAATTTGTCCCTAGGAGAAAAAACAATAACACATGAAACATTATCAAGTTCTTCATTTCAATATTTAGAAACTATTATAGAACACATTATTTTCATAGAATCTACAGATCATGAAAAAATGATTGTCAAGTCCAATACAGACTAAATATTATCAGAGATCATATTTCTCTAGCCGTAGAAGTTTTATGTTTGGGCTTCTGGTTTGAGCTTCGGCGACAGACCAAAATCTGCAATCATGTACAGTTTCGATCTGTGCTCACTGCTGGAGTGCCCTGAGCCAGCTGGTTTTGGGGCTAAGCCACCCCGTAGAGGTGGTGAAGAGGGGGGAGACTGCCAGCAACTCTTCTCCCCAGCTGGCCATTACTCCCTTTCCCGAAGGCAGTTGCAGCGGTGGTCAGAAATGGCCACCTCAAAGAAAAACTCTTTAAGCAAGAAACCGGCAAAAATCCACTTTGACATTAACAGGTATTTAAGCTGAAAATAAAATGTCAAAGGGATAATAAAGATTTCGGGATTCTCAAGAACTTTTAAAAGAAGGGAAAAAAACAAAAGGGTGGGATCTGGAAAAATGGAGGAGACCACCTGGAAGTGAAAGGAATTAACAGTGAAACTTTAACAAGATTCCTAAAAGATACATTTTAACTGAAACTCTGTAACAAGATAAGAGAACCCCAGGAAGAGAAAGTGGAAAAAAGAAGCAAGAAGAAACAGCTTTGGGTTATTTGGATTACTTGGTGATTTTTGGATTTTTGGCTATCGGATCTAAAGGACTAAAATTAATCAGGTGGTTGTTTAAAAGTTTTTAAAATGGTATCACTCTTGGAAGAATTGAGAATGGAACTTAAAAAACAGAAAGAAGATGCACAAGAAGGAAGAGGTTCTTTTGGCTTCGTATTTCAATTTTTAGGAATGGAGATCCTGAACTATGAGAAACAACAAGAAATGCCTGTAGAACAAGAAGGGTGGGACAAAGAAGAAGTCATCTTCATGACCAAGTATTTCTATGTGGGGAAAAGAAAGGAAAGGGGGGAAAGAGAGTGAAAAGTTCAAGATCTGAAAAAACAACCCCCAAAAAGAATAGTTTGAAAAGTAATTACAACATGAGGAAGAAACAGAAGAGAGGATTACAGAAGAGAGAATCAGAATTAGAGAGAGAAGGGGTCAAAAGGGAAGGGAGAAGAAGAGGGGGAAGAGGGAAAGGAAAGAAAATTATAAAGAAAAGAAACAGGACATAGAAAAACAGGGAAAACGTACAAGGATTAAGGGTATAAGCCTATTTAGAAGACACAGAGATAATGGGTGAAAATTAATTGAAAGGGGGATTCTGCAAGGGTACATGAGATAGTATTGTTATATTAGAAATAGAAATGAACTTTGAAAATATGAAACAAGTGTGATTAAAATGATAGATAAAATACTCATTGTAATGTAATACAATGTTTAATAGATAAATGAAATAAAAAGAATGAGAGAATGAAATTAGGAAGGGAGGGGAACATTTTAATTATTATAAATGTGTTATAAAAAATGTAAGTGAAGAGGAACATGAAAGAAACATGAAAAAATTATGGAAATATTATATGTGTTCCTAGAAGTATGATACCCTATTGAAAAAAAAATGTTAAAATGTCAAAGATTACAACTAACATTAATGATATAGCTGAATTGGAATAGAATAAGTATTTTATTTATTATTGTTATATATATCTATATCTATCTATATATACATACATACATACATACATACATACATACATACATACATACATATTCATTCTCTTTAAGAACTTAGTGTATGTTTTAAGAATGTACCAAGCAGAATTTGACTAGAAGTTATATGTTATATTGAATGTTATAATTGTAAAGGTATAAATTGAAGTTTAAATAAGAGTTGAATGGATAAAAATTAAAAGATACAAAGGTGTCATTCTCCAATTAGTAACTTCAGGGAAAAATTTTGTTTAATGAGAAAAGAAAATATGCAATTGAAACAGGACAGACAAAAGTATAAATATAATGACTAGAAAGATATTGAAACTTAGAAAAAGATATATATATATATATATATATATAATTGAATTTAGAAAGGAATGAGATAATTAAAAGTAAGATTGAGAAAACTAAAGGAAGGGAAAAATTATTGGGAAATATTAAAATAGTAATAAGATATAGAAAAGAACACAAAGATAAATATGAAATTGAATTTGTGTCTGTAGGGAGAATTGATAACCTGGTACCATGCTATTCTCAAAAAAAGAAATTTTACTTGTATTATGTTTTGTGAAAACCCAAGTAAAAATTTTATTTTAAAAAAAGAAGTGTTATGTTTGACACTCATACAGCAACACAAGAAGTTTCATGAAAATAAGTTCACCTTCACACTAACTCTGGGATTAATGTCTGAGGAACTTTTCATTTTTTTCATTGAGAATCTTTAATCACCAATTCCTTACCTGAGGGGAAATCAGGGGTGGAACGAAGGCTTGGTGTTGGTGACCGGGGAGACAAGCTATGAGTTGGAGAACCAGGTAAGCTTTCTCCTGATGATAATGATCGATTCAGACAAGAGAAACTCCGACTTGTATGAAGAAGAGGTGATGGTTGCTTAGCCAGCTTTTTGAACAGAGATCTCCTCCTAATACGAAAAAAGAATTTTTCAGTAAAATCCAAACATCTAAAGCAATAATCCAAAAGTTATGACAACATTTCCCTTGGCAGTTAAAAACTTACCAATGTTTTACTTGACATTGCAACTAGATGTTTAGGCACTTACGTTGTAAATCATAGGAATTTGTTAAAATCTACAAATTATGAGAGATAATTTCTAATATTCTATTCTGGAAATCTGGGATAATGTTCTGATAACATGCTAGGTATCTGTCTGTCTGTCTGTCTGTCTGTCTGTCTGTCTGTCTATCTATCTATCTATCTATCTATCTAACTATCCTCTGTATTAGGAGTGTCAAACTCACATCATCACAGTGGCATCACATGATGTATAGGGACTTATTTCCCCTTAGCTAAACCGGGTGTGGGTGTGGCCAGAGCATGATGCATCTGGCCCACGAGCTGGGAGTTTGACAGCCCTGCTCTCTCCCTCTCTCCCTCCTTCCCTCCCTCCCTTCTTCTCTCTCCCTCTCTCCCTCCTTCCCTCCCTCCCTTCTCCTCGCTCTCTCTCTCTCTCTCTCTCGATCTATCTCGATCTATCTATCTATCTATCTATCTATCTATCTATCTATCTATCTATCCATCCATCCATCCATCCATCCATCCATCTATTCATCCATTGCCCACCTCACCTAAGTGACTCTGTGGAGTTTACAAATAGCAATAATAATTTAAAAGCCATATGATAAAACACTTTTAAAGAAATCCTAACTAACCAAAATCTTAGTTTCTGAAAAACTCTTGAAAAAAAAGATCTGTTATAAAAAAAAGAAAGAAAGAAAAATCCCACTGGCCCTCATATTACTTACATATAAATATAGAAAGTAAGGCTCACAACCCCAGCAACTTTAACTATTATAAAAACCACAATCTTAAATTATTCTAATGAAATGCTATTATTCTAATATCCTAATTAGACATATGATTAAACCTTTGGAGATTTTAAGAGATTGTAAAACATGAATAATAAATCAATAGCCTTTGAGGCAATATTTAATGCTAGTAAGATTGAAAAAAATTGGAAATCTTGAATGAAAATACCATTTAAAAAGATACATTTAACATAAAGAAGTACATATTACACAAATGTTACACATTTACTCTTCATTAAGGAATCACAACTCACCTTTCCAAACTCTCCTTCTTTTTTGTTTTCTTACTCCGTCTAACCATTCGGCCTCTATAGCTATTCTTTCTAGCTGGTCCTGTTTTTATTGAGGTATTTTCAAATGGGGTAGTAGTAATTGACACTTTATTGCCACTCTGTCAAAAAAGAAAACAGGATCAGACAATATGGTACTACTATAAAGTCTTTATTAAAAAAGGAACAAAATAATCAGAATATGGATCTAATATGTGAACCAGAAGGGGAAAAAAATCTATTACGTTGGTGTGTTCCATCACAAACCCTAAAGGCTACTACTAAGATATTAAGGGGCGGGAGATGTTCACTTTTTATTATCACTACTCATTTATGTCTTGACCAGGTATTCCTGGATTTTTCTTTAATAATATATCTATAGCTTGAAAAAGTTTGAGAAATCCTGTTTTCTATATCTATATAAATACAGGATTTTCTGTATCATTCTCATGACCAAATCTTAGGTTTTTTTTGAGCAAAGCCATATAAATAAGATTTTTACTAAGAACAGTGTTTTTCTTGCTTTTAGCATTCCTTATGTTTTATATTACAAGTGACGTTAATTTAGAATGCCCCAGTAGCCACTTGCCAATAATCTGGGTGCTTGCCAACTGGCTTGCGCATATAATGGTTGCAACATGATCACTATTTTTAAAAGATTTTATAAAAATCCATTTCCTAAAACTCTTTCATTGTGCCTTTCATTTCAATTTACAAAAAGAAAACTAAAATTTTTTAAAACCCTTCCTCAAATTATTTGAATTCACACTCTTTTGGTAATACAGAATATACAGTAATAGCAAGATATGACATTTTCCTCTATTGTGAGAAAAACAATTAAAAGTGGTATCTAATCAAAAAGGCTCATTTTGTTCCATCAGTTGCCGGATTGAAGCTGACAAATTATTAGAATTGTGGAAGACAGCTTTTCAGATAAAGCTAATTATCTTTTTTATAAAAATAAAGATTTTTCTTTATAATTTTAGTCTCTCTAAAAAATATAAAAGCAACAGTATGTCTTGTGCAAGCTTGACTGTAATATGAAGGAGTTCACTTGCAAAGACCAACTGCTGGAGGCTTTCTTTAGTATATCATTACTATTTATCAGGTGTTAGCAGAAAAAAATGGAAAGAGGTTGAAATATAATTACACAGTTCAGAGGATAGCTAATTACAAGGAGTGCTTTATTTTATATCATTACATTTCTGCTGTCAGCTTTGGAAGCCATATTAGTACTAGAAGCTTCCATGCTGCCACATTCCTGTGCCTGAGAAAGTAGGAGCGGGGAAGATTTTTAGAGTGTTGGTAGTTAGACATAATAGCATTCTTTTTTTTAAAATCAAGGTCATGTTATTCCTGCACCTGGAGGAGGAATGGTTGAAGGAATGTCTCAAGTTGGGATGGTTGATGATTGGACCATGTGATGGACTGATAGGTGCAGGGCTTGGGTTTTCATTTTTGAATTAGGGGATTAGGGAAAACCCGGAACTGTCAGATTTGGGTTTTCCCAGATGTGCCAGTATAACTACTCTAATAAAAGGAAATTTTGAGAAAATGCCTCTCTCTGAGTTTTTAATTGGAGTTGGTTTTTTTCTGGAACCCTGACATCTGCCATTTATCTCTTGGGAGATAATCTCTTATCTCTTATTAACTTGGGAGTGCATTTTCACCCATCCTGCCAGGTTGACTCCCTGGATGCCTCCTCTAGCATGGAGAGGAACATCCAAGGCCTCTGTTTTCATGACATGTAAGTGATTTTATTAACCATTTTCCATTTGATTAACCAAATGCATATGGTTCAGAATCACTACCAAGCACTTTAGACAAAAAAAATGAAGGCTTTTAATTATTTATAGATCTCTTTAAAAAAGAGATAAACATAAACAAACCTACCCAATTTAAACAAAAACCAAATTGTAAGGAATTGAAATGGGTTAAAGAGCCAATTAAGTCTAAATCAAAGCAGTACTTTTCTGAAGCACAATGTAGTCCCTAACCCCTATGGCCCTTCCAAAGCTTACTGAATCAAAATTACTGTACCTTTAATAACAGTTCTATGACTTCAGTGTGAACAAGGCCATGGACTGGCTCTCCATTAATATGTGTAATGAGATCACCAGCTTTCAACCCAGCATGATAGGCTGGACTTCCCTCTTCAATGTTCTAGAAAGTAAAAGAAAATGCATAAGCTCAAGTATATTTGTCCTAGAAGTATAATACAGTAGCTTCTGGATTTATCAAGAAAAAAAGGATTACTTTGTTGTTCTTCTACATGCCAATGGCACAGAGTCAATCACAAAAACTTGCTCCATCAGTGTAAACAGTTCTGCTCTTTAATATCACTGAACATTAAAGATTAATTGCTAATGTTAATTTTTCTGTCTGTTCCATGCCAGTTTTCATTTTAAAACTTCTACATTCCAAATCATGAGAGAAAAATTTGGGGAAACCAAGGGTAGCACTAACTAGTCTGGGTTGGTGACAGCACAATTTAATGTTGTAAAGTAGAAAAGTCATTTTACAAGTATATGCAAATCCAAGCTCTCCTATTGGTGGTGGGAAGTTGTTTTTTTTCATTTAAAGTTACTATTGCATTTTTCAAGACAAGGAGATCTCATTACAGCTTGGTTATTTAATGTATTTACAGATAAAGGAATGTTTGTGCAGAAATTAGAGGAATGTTGATTGGATAGATATGCATGAGTAGCTTTTGATGGAGATGATGCCATGTTGTTGGCTGAGAACCTGAAAGATTTGCAGCAAATGTTAGATATACTGCATGATGCAAGAGTATGCATCTAAAAATTAATGTATCAAAGACCGAAGAAGTTATTTTAGTAGGGGAAATGGAGTGAACAACTGCAAATTATATATAAATGATGAAAATCTAAAGCGAATAGATGAAATTGTGTTTTTTAATAGAATAGTTACTAAAGATGGAAAAATGGATGAAGAAGTTTTAAGACACACACACTCTGATACAGCAGTGTATGGTGTGCTTTGAGGAGTGCTTGCAAAAGGAAAGAACAATGGCTATGTATAACTAGAGGCTTCTGCCTGCTTTGTTATATACAAGTAAAATTTGGAAGAAATGTGAAATATGAATGGACAGGGAATGAGCTTAAAAAGAAATGTGTGGGATAAAACAAGAAAAATATCTGGTTAAGAACAGATAGGTGAGGAATTAATGTGGATTGAATACAAAAATGAGCAGCCATTACAGATAGTCCTCATTTAGTGATCACAATTGAGACTGGCAACTTTGTTATTAAGTCAAGTGGTTGTTAAGTGAAAATGCAACTGTCCCTATGATCTTACTTCCTTTGCTTTACAAATCTGTGAAGGTTATAAATGAAAGGATCATTCAAAAAATGACTTTTTCATCACTGTTATAACAATTGCTAAATAAGACAATCGCTAAGTGAGGATTACCTGTATTAAGGAAGAATGCTGAGGTAGTTTGGTCATACATAAAATATGAATGAAAACTGGAATCCATTGAACCAATATGTAATGAAAGATGGATAGTTGAGAGGAAGAGGAAAAGAAAATCATAGCTGAATTGATCAGAAAAGGGGACTCAGGCAGCAGCATAAGGCCCTGGACTTTAGATCCCCCCGTTAGTATTGTATTCAGAAAGGGGAATGATTCAACTTCTTTTGTTAATTAAATACTGCCATAGCAAGAAATTGCAAGACATTGTTCTTCTAGAACAAATACTAATTTTAATGCCATTTACATTTTTGGCTGAATTGGTAAGTCAAGTTACTAGAAAACTAAACTTTGTTCCTGAAGATTTTTCTTTTGAATTTCATCTTGATGCAGACAAAATGAAAAAGGTACATTGACTGAAAGATTAGAGAACCCAAACTTGGAATTGACCCACCGAAATTACAGTACCTTAATAACAAATATGATCAGCTTGAAGATTAGTAAAGAATAAACACCTGCCAGGGTCTATATATTAAGATATATTTTGAAACTATTTTTCATTTTAATAAGCTTAAACAGGGTTAGAATCTCTATAGATTTTCTTCCTTTTAAGTTCAAATATTCTATTTTAAATGGTTAGGGCTATTTTGTGTTACAGGCACTTTAATTATATTTCCAATTCAAACTAAATTGGTGGCTGTCAAAGTGTGGTCTGGAGAATTCTGGGTTTCCCCAAAAGCCTTCCAGAGGATCTAGGAATATTTTAAATATTTTAAAGTTTCTCAGTTTTAATTTCTAATATAGTAAATATCGATAGATATTTGTGGTTCTCAATCATTTTTAAGAATGTAAAGAGGATCTGAAACCAAAATGATTGAGCACAGCTGGATACTAGGTTATAGTACTTTTCCTTTTTTTAAACTATACTAAATTATGTGTCTCATTTAAGTATAACCTACAAATAAATTAATCAGGTACAAGAGTTTGTAAATTTTACCCAAATAATGTGATGAACTGTGTAGATGTCGCTATCACCCACATATACTCTGATTGCTCGGATAGTGAATCCATACTTTTTGCCTGAAGTATGAATTATGACAGGCTGGTGGGGACTTGCAGGAGCAGTTGATGAGTCACGGCTTGGGGAAGAATCTCTGGAAGATGAAGGATCTGAAGATATGGAATGGGGGGACATTGGACTTCCCAAAGGCGACACCCCAAAAATATCTGAAAAAAATGGTCCTCTGTTTAGGAATATATTCAGTTTCATATATATGTTAATACACTATGTTATTATATTCACAGATTTGCTGTTACAGAACTATCTGTCACGACTCAAAACATTCCAAAATATTTCTCTTTTTTTCTGGTGGGAAAAATTACCAATCAACAGGTTTATGTATTTAATACAATGTTTATGGTTAAAATATCTTTGGTTAAAATCTCAAGGTAGAATATGTTCCTACCCTTACAAACTATGTAATATACCCATGTTTTTCAGAATATTATTTTATGGTTAAAACAAAGTAGGGAAAACACGGGATAGTTTCATTCTAACTCCTCACCAACCAAGTCTTATAGGACTAGCACAGTCCATAGAAATTAGGAAAGGCGGCAGATATGCTGATTTGGATAACAAGTCCAGAAGACAAAAAGCAAGGTGGCTTCGAATGGACCAATCCTTAGCATTCCAAGCCACTATCTACAGTATCTGACTCTCTCTTCTGGATCAAATCCAGCCCATTGTTTAAGTCAAAATTCCTTTTTCTGATAGCAAATATTCACCAGATAATGAAACTTCTTTTACAAGAAGGTAACAATATGTTGCGTAGGGAATATTAATTATTAATAAAAATTCAGTGTACACACCATGCAAAACATTTAAAAATGTGACTCGTTTTAACACAAGAAAGGTTAAAAAGAAAAAGAGCATCCATTTCATCATTATAAACAGTATCTACCTCCTGGAATCATAAGGGACAGAGCACTGGCCGAGAGGGACTTTGTAACCTTTGCTGATATTTTCTTTTTTTCTGTAGTTTCTAATCGTTGACGAGCCATATGAGATGCTTGTTCACTAGATGGCTTTGAGAAATTATCTGTGCTGTCCACACTTTCATTTCTTCCGTTTATCTGATCCAAATGCTCTGAAAAGCTACCAGCTGCACAAAATAAAAGAATCAACACATTAAATCAAGATTTGGGAGGAAGTCAAGCAATAAGATGAGGATTTATTTTTCTGCTACAATCTCATGCAATAAAATTCGAGAACAAGCACCTGCACAGTTATTAATCATCCTTTTGGGACGTGGACCAAGCATTAATATTAGTTTCATTGTCCTTCCTTGCACTAAACTTCCCATGTTAATAATTGGTATAATTTTCACAACTCTGCTTAAAGTTATTGGATTAACTTGCTGTCAGCTACGATTTTTGAAATACAACATACCAAAAATGCTTTTTCTAAAAAAACAATTAGACTTTCTTGGGTTTTTTTTTTCTTTGATAATATTTCTCTTCTTATCCAAAAAGTTTCTTCAGTTCTGAAGTGAAACATTTTCAGAGAAAAAAACAAGAAAATTCAGTTGCCTTTTGGAAAAGGCAACATTGAGACATTCATGACCTGAATGATTGAGAATCTCCATAAACATTTAGAGCATAAAACCAAAAGAGCTGATAAAAAAGTTAGTGCTCATATGAAAAGGGGAAGATTATCAGAGCAAAGCTGATTATTTCTGTATACTCATAAAATACCATTTCAGGCAAAGAGTATTGCTTGTTATTAAACAATATAGAAAACTGAGGTGAGAAAGCAGCAGTATTAGAAACATTGGAGAAAAGTGATCATCTAATGCTGGAGCTTCTGACTTTTAATTAAACTAAGCTGAGTGTGCCTTTAAAAAAGTTAATATGAATTTCTCAGGAATAGGTATTACCAAATTACTAATATACAATTTTTATTAGATATTAATTTATTAATAGATTATAGGAATGTACTGTATAGATATATCTTGATTTCAACAAATAATTTATGCTAGTACCCTCTACCATATTTGACTCAGCAAGCTAGGCAAATAAGGATTAGCTAAGTAACAAGTAGATATATAGCTAGCTTGAACACTGTACTTATTAAACTATATGTACATATCTAATCAAAAGATTGTTGAGCTTGGCAGTTTTCTGTAGATATTTTAGTATCAGTCTAAATAACATCTTCAGTGCTAGATCAGGGCTTCAGACTTTAGGGCAAACACTGAAGATGTTATTTAGTCTGGTAATGACACGTCTGCCAACAATCAAACTGAGAGAGCACCAAGGACTCCACAGTTCAAATATAGGCCACATATTTTTTTCTATTAGTATCAAAGGATTGTATCTTGGTTTATTGATGCTTACAAGAGCGTTATAAATCTTTATATCTCTGAGGATGAGACCATGATCTTTATATCTCTGACCATGAGATCATGAATCACATTAGATTTTTTATTCTTCATTAAAAGTAGGTGATAAGGAAAGGGTCAGGAGCACAATGAAAAGCAGAATATAGAAAATGTTAGTTCTTTGTTGTTTTAATAGATTTTCCTACTGTTACAAATATGCTTTTAAAAAGTTGACATAAGTACTGACAGAACTTTCTTCTTCTAACTAAACCAAAGGTATTTTTTTGGACACCAAAAGGGGCAAGAAATAAAAGAAAGTTGTGTTCATTCCCCTGTTTTGATATAAAGAAAATGATCAAATGTGCTCATCTGAGTGACCCATTTCACACCACAAAGCAGCTGAAAAATTCAAGATAACTTGGTATTATAGCCCACTCAATAGGTAGACTAACAAAAGCCATTTCTATATATTATGCATCATACCTGAGAGTGTGGAATTACTAATTGTGCTTGCTGGAGTTGTTACCTCTACTTCATCTTGAACAGTTTCTTCACTTACAAACATAGTCTTTTCTTGAACTTTATGAGATCCACCAGAACACAGTAATTCCTCTGAATCTCCTTCAGCTGATATAGCTAATTTTGGAAGTAACCCTGAACTGTGGCGTTGTTTAACACTTTCAGTATCTGAAGAAACTGATGTAGATATCTGTTGCCTATATTTAAAATGATATCACATAATGTCAACACACACTAAATATACGTAAGTTCACAAATGTTGCACAGTAATCAAATATTAATATTACTTACACATCAGAATATTCTGAGCTCCAGCATGAAGATTCTGAAGATGTTAGTGTCGCATTTGTTGTTCCTTCTATTGTATTCTCCTTTTCTTCAGTTTGAATAGTGACTCGATCTATACTACTAAAAACCTGTGCACAGGGGTTGGGGATGAGGATAAAATAATAAAGTTAATGATTACTTGTATCAAACAGAACTTCATAAAAGTATGTAATATGTTTCAAATACTTCAAATGAATGTGTGTACAATCTGTGTTTACTTTCATACAAGGAAGAAATATATCATGGGGTTTGTCTGGATCATTCTAAGTAGCTCACAGTACAGTCAAAGCGAAACCCAGATTATTTTGGTTGTTTCTGGTTTTGGTAAAGAAAAAAACCAAAATAGGTGAGTAGTGCAAAGCTCCTGCTCCTTCATCCTTCCTCTCCTTCTTGCATGCCTTTGTACCAACTTTCCTGCTGGTGGCTTTTTTCCCTTTCTTCTCCCAACTGCAGCCACCTTGAATATAAGTAGAGCATAAAATGGATATAAAAAGTCTACATACCCCTATCAAAATGCCAGGTTTTCAAGATGCAAAAAAATCAGTTCAAGATAAATCACTTTAGAATTTTTTTTCACCTTTAATATAACAATTATAAAGATGTCGATTAAAATGAAAAACAAATGGAAATCTTTTGGAGGAACAATAAAAAACATACAATGTTTGGATTAGAGAAATACACATTTATATTTTTTAAATATAATAACTGAATCTTATGAGCGAAAAGAATTTGGAAACAGGGTAGTCCCTCTGAATGAATTTACTCACAATAATCCAAGAGGGTATGACTGTAGCATACAGTTATTGCAATTCCATATCAACTGCAAACTCACTGTAAACTTTACTTTAAACCTTCCTTCTCAGCACCTTCTTTCAGTGTGAAAAAAAAATGCACTTCATGGTAATCATATTGGCATCCTACTGATTCCTTGAGCTGCTGGGAACAGAATTTTATTGTCCTGTGAGGATTTGCAGAGGGGGCTACTAAGGATGACAAATGGTTTCTGTGCCCTGAGTTGCTCACCATATTAACATACTGAACCATGTTTAACATACTTAAATTTTTATGCAAAATTATTTTGTAATCATTTATAATTACATTTTTGTATTACATATATTTGGAAGTGGAATATTTAAATACTAACTTTTGAAAATCGATGTGAACATGAAGAAAACTGCCTTATCTCCAAATTAAAGTCTTCATCATTTGTATCTTCTTCTTCTTCTTCTGTCTCCATATGATGATACTTCTCAGAACGAGCTATAAAACAACAAGCAGATTTTATCTCTCTCTCTCACCCCCTTCCCCAAAAATCCTTAGATATCAACAAAAGTGCATTTCAAAATCAGCTACCACAGCCATAAAACTTAATATATGGATATTTGGTATATCTCTATCGAAGTAGACATACTGTCAAAGTAGCTTGTGTCATCTTCAGATTCCAGCTGAGGAATGAATTCTGCTTTCTGTCTCAGCAAACTATTCCAATCTAAGGTTTGAAAGAACTGATGTTGTTTCACTTCATAAGTACCACCTGGGGGAGCAAGAGAAACCGGTTGCAGATTACCATACACACACACACACACACACACACATACTTTTAAAAAGTGAATTACCTTCCAGATTTAAACATAATAATTAGAAGGGCTGCAAGTTTATCATGCCACTAATTTTCACAACTACTGAGAAATATTTCCATTTGGAAAAAAGAACATCACAGAAAGTACAATATGTCCGTTAACTATCAGTGCATTTTTAAGTTATTAAGCAGTGTACAATAATTTTATATTAGACCCAAAACTCAGACATAATATTAAAAGAAGAAAGCTTATTTATAAATCATCCGAAAACAAATACTTATTTAAAAACACTGGATTCATTGTAGTAATAAATATTTTTCAAGATTCTCCTTGCATTTTTTGCCTAATTTCCCCCCCCCACAATACAGTACTTAAATTTGAAGATAAACAATCTTTGTCAGCATGTAAAGCAGGGATATCAAACTCATGTTGTCATGGCAGCATCACGTGACGTATCGGGATTTTTTCACTAATCTGGGCATTGGCATGCCCAGCGCGTGACACATCCGGGCCAGGAGATTGATAGCCCTGATGTAAAGCATTTGGCAGTGTACTGTTGGATTGTATATGACGTTCATTTTATTGTGATTTTCAGGTATGGTATACAGTAATTTCTTAGAGTAATCTAAATATTTAAAGAAAGTAAATATTTTTTTACTGACATATTATCATTTGCAAACAATTCTACAATCATGATTAATGAAGCAGAACTTTGAAGCATAAGAAATTCCATCTTCCACTGAAAACAAATGACACCTCCCTCCTCTTCCATTACTTCTAGCTGCAGCAAACTACAATTCCCAGAATTACAAAGCAGAATTGTCAAGAGTGAATGATGGTTGCTATTGTAGCTAGGCAGAAACGAAATGATACACATTTTTGGTTCCTTATATTTAAGAAATCCTCCCTACTGAAAAAGAATGAAAATGTATTTTGTCATTGAAAATCATCTGTAAAATCATCTTTAAATTTACTGCAATATACTTACTCATTATGGATTATACACTGAAGGAATTTTCAGCCTATTTTCTCATAGCAATGGAAAGCATGAATGCAAGACTGAACTGACATTACCAATTATATAAAGAAAAAGAAAAAAGAAACCTGCAACCTTGATTGCTCCTATAAATACCATTGCTCAAGCTATTCTTCACAGTTCGACATCAAAATAAGAAATTTTATATGACAACAGATTTATTTTAGTCATATATGACTATGTGTGTCTAATATACAAAATATTGTTTCACCTTTTAATTATTTTGAAAATTATCTAAACTGTTGAAAAACAGTTCCTTCATATTAATTAAAATGCTGAATGGGAATAGAATTAAGACTTTTTATTCTGCAGGGAATAGCAGTAGATTTTTAGAAGTACAGAAAAAGTAAAATATTTATTCTCAGTTATTAATATTTCAACATCGACATAAATACATTATATTTGAAAAATCTGGAGTAATCCTCTTAGAGATTAGTGCATAAAAGATTTAACTAAAATATATTTTAGTGCCATGTTTTCCACTGATTGCCTATGAGAAATTCCTTTTTAGTTTCTGAGTACATTCCAATCAAACCAAGTTACTTTTTTTCTCCAGTAGGAATAGTATTGTCTTAAAAATTTCAACTTTGACTTTAGGCTTTTTTACTCAAAATTAGCAAACTTTTACTATAAAAACAAGTTAATTTTACATATTTTAAAGTTAGTGGATTGTAGGTACTTTGATTCAAAATTGCTGCAGTATAATGCAATTTGGGCTAATTTGAAGGTACAAATAGATAAACAGATAAACATAATGAGACTTTTAATAGTCTACAACTTGAGTCCTCAACTGTAGTGAAATAATTGGCATACTGCTTTAAAACACATGTGACCAATTTAATGATTAAAGAGATCCCTTTAAAACTTTTGTTCTAATTGTCATGGCAAACATGATAGTTTTTTAAAAGTGTAGTTGTGAAATACTATTATCTAGATCAAGGGTCTTTAAACTTGGTAAGTTTAAGACTTGTGGATCTCAACTCCCAGAATTCCAAAGCTAACATGA